CCCCGCATGCTGGCTTTCAACCATTCACCCATGAACACGGGTCACGTAAGTCTAACACCGAAGCGACGCGGAATTATACGCTCCGAGTCCTCGCCCTGTGTTTCCCTAACAAATGATACCGTTCCCACGCGAGACCGTGGATTCAGGTGAAACTAAAAAACTTGCCTTTATCTCGCCGAAACTTTCGTTCGCGGCATCGGCGCGTGCACTTGTACATCCGAACGTTCACCACCTGTCATTTTGTTCCGATGAACACGTTGAAGGACGTTTAGCTTGCAGGTAGCCGCTCGAAGAACCGAAGAAGGGAGAGATTAGATTTATGTTGGTACCCCCAGGTATTCCGTGTTGAATGCAATGGGCGATGTATGGAACGGCGAGGGAGGAACAGGGAGGACTGAGTAATTAACGGCCGGCGATAGAGGAAGTTGGGAAGAACGCGGCGCGATAGAGAAAGTTGGAAAGAACGCGGAGGAACAGACGTTTGAGTATTTCGTGGAAGGATAATATCCACGGGATACGGGCGAGAGCGATGGCTTTGAAATGGAAATTTAATCCAGTGTCACATCCGCAATTCGAATTCCCCATATATCGACGCGGCGATGTGCCAAATCCGTTGAAATTTCATAAACTCTCTTCTACTCGTTCAAATTAAAATACTTCGCAAAGTCGTTCGGATTGCCGGACCTGTCGATTTCATGGGTCAATTAATTTTTTTAATTTTCACCTCGGACAGACGGCTCCGACTTCCAACGACCTTTATCCGGCAATTTGGATCGAAAGCTACGTACCTCCGTTCAAGGACAATGACAGTCGCGCGGAAGGCAACACGCATCATCCCAGTAGCATTCGAAGCGGGATTTACGTGGATTACATTCCCCGTGGAACAACGGAATCAGAGATCACACGAGAGATTCTCCTATCTGCCATACGAACAAGATTATTTCTGGCGATGCGGCCGATTAGCTCGGAACATTGGACGAATCAAAGTCCAAATGACGTTTCATCGGTAGCAACGGTTGCGCGCGCGGGAACCTACCGAGTTCGCATTATCAGCTGCGAAAGTAACAGTCGTGTCGTATAGAAACTGAAAATACGGATCGCCGAGGACCTCTCGTTCGGCGCAAGTCGGAGCAATTGCTCCGCGAACGAAATATCCCGAATTCTCCATTGAAACATTCCATCGGCCTATCGCCGTCCCTCTAAGCAGTATTCCAAAGTACTCTAGCGCAACAGATCGGAATCGACAGCGTATTCTGAAAATACAATACGGTTGTTCGGAATCCAGTAAAATGGCAGTAAGTGGTACGAGTCTGAGCTCGGTCGGACATTCTCGTACGAATTTCAGTACAATACTACTTACCTTCGTGGGCAACGAAGGAACGACCAGGATCGGTTCACGTTCACATCCATCGTATCGCGGTCACGTTAAAATTCCGTCTTAGAGACCGTATCGGATCGCGTCGGGTAGAACTTAAGATGCAGAAAACCAGTCGGAAATGACAAGCTCGCAAAGACGTCCGTTGATACGCGTGTCAAATCACCAGAGGCCTTTTAAGCTTCTCTTTCGTCAGGTAATTAACCTCACCCGTTATAATGGAACGAGACTTGTGCGATGAATTAATTAACTGATACGAAGCTAACTAGACCCACGAACTACGAGGACAGATATTGTCAAGCAACGAGGGGTTCGAAGATTAGGCGGGCGAGATTAAACCGGAAGATGGACTAATTCCGCCTTTCGTGCCGCGTTCTTCGCCATAAAGCGACAAAAATCAATGTCCCTACGGTCGAACGGTTACGCGAAAAACCCGTTCGCCGTTCGTTCCGTCGAAGTTGGAACTACTTCGACGGAAGCACCTCTTCCTCCGTCATCGCGTGCTTCGAGATAGATTATTTCAGACTCGGGTGTTCTATAAAGCGCAAGAAACACAGCGTAAACGCCTGAAAACGTTAACAGAAATTCTTCAAGTTCGTCGGGAGGCAAAACGAGTCGGGCAGCGTTTCAGTCAGCCTTAATGGATGTCGTGTCCGGCGGACGTTCGAACGATCCGTCTTTAAATAAGAATAACGGAATGGCCATTCTGGCGGATAGAATTAATGAATTCCATTAACGGTTTGAAACGCGAACGGACAATGGTGTCTGCAAGTGACTGGCGAAGATAACGCGGTATTCCTCGAGCGAGAACGAAGAGCATCGAGAGGGGAACCGAACCTCCGCGAACTTGACTCGCGAGCAAAGATCCGTCGCGCGTGCGATCGTTGTTTCGGTCGACAATAGAAATCTCCGACGCCCTACGTAAAATGGTTCACCGAGGCAATCCGACGCAACATTTTCTCGATAACGAAGCCGCCGGATCGATGGCAGTTTCGGCGCGTGTACAGCCAGCGAGATACGTGAAAAGCCTCGGTTCGTCGCGGCGCGCTCGGCGTTCGGTGTCGAAAAATTGTCTGCGCTCCGATCGATCGTAATGCAGCAAAGAAAGGCTTCGGAGCCGGATCGTGACGATATACGGCAAAGCAAGAACACTACACTCCGTTAAACTTCACCACCATTCTGTGCCTATAATTCGGTGAAAGGTGCAAGTGGTTCGTCGGAAACTAGAGCACGCGAATATAGCTATTGACCTCTCTCTTCCTGTCTCACCGCCACCCTTCTCCGCGACCCGCCTCTTCCCTTTTCCTCTTGCACTCGTTCGGCCTGCCCGGCGAAGAATGACGAAGCTCGGTAACATCATCGTATTCTCACGTTTTACGATCGACTGTCGCGGCGGACATATAAAATCATTATCCCGCCTCCTTTCAGCTCGAAGCGTGTAATTTATCGTAGCCTCTCGAACGATATCCCGCTCGTTCGGCCGAGAAACGTTTTAATCGCGGGAACGCTGACGGACGAGACGACGAACAGAGGTGTCTTCGGTCGAACTCCGAACCGCCGTCCGATTTCGTTTTTCGTTTCTCCGAATCCCGGCGTCGTTACGGGAGATTCGAAAGTTGAAGGGATAGGTGGGATTCGCGGTGACGGTATCTTTTTGTTTCAACGGAGAGTCGCGCTAGCTCGATGCGAGCGGGGTGTACGATTGCCCGAGAGCGGGATCGCTCCATCGACGAAATTGCGTCGCTGGTTTTGGAACTGACGTAAGTGCTTCCGTTCACAAATGGACGCGACCGCGTAATAGCAGAGCTGACAAACGCTCCGCGCTCACCGTTCAAGCCGTCAAGAATACAAATTTCATCGACATCGACGCGGTCGTTCGGCTAATTGTACTCTATCGCACGGAGAAACCGGGAATACTAAAACGATCCCTCCTTTTTTTCCATTGTTTAACGTCGCATCGACTTCTCGATCGCCAGCAATATGCTCTAGTTGTTAGTTTTCCTTTCGCAAATCCATCGTTTCGAGAAATTCTATCAGATTGTTGTTCTAGTTTCGTACTTCGACTCTGCTGCGATTAGCTTCCAGAAGATGTATTCCTGTTTCTGCGCATAAGATCACCGGAACTAGTCGCGTACATTTATTCATCCGATGCTACCGAAAGCATCGGCCAGCGAGAAGGCCGCTCGACGAATCTACATATTTCTTCGAGCAGTTTTCCCATCCGCTCGTAAGAGCGAACGGTCGAAATTTGCGAAGCGTCTCCTCGTAGATACTCGGATCACTTGCCTAGTAACTCGCGGATTCATCGAAGATTCGCTGATCTTTCGTTTCGCGGATAAGCGTAGATTGCGTAGAGAACCGGAGCAGCGGTATTACATAGGAATGCGAAATTCTGGCCATCGGTTTCTCCGCACGGTGGCCTGTTCTCTAGCTCCGCCGCTGCGGCGAGTACATCTGTGCCCCTCTATACGAAAGCAACGGATACAAATGATTCTCTCGTGCCGCGGCGCTGGTTATCACGCATCTCGATCCACCGGCTACGAATCGCTACACGATGCGAGCGTGAATAATACGCGGCAGGAACAAAACGCGGTAGTACATTACGTAATCTCGTGGTTTCCCCCAGCGAAATAGTTTTGACGTCCTCGAACGTGATCGCAATTCCATGAGAATATCTCGAAATCGTCGATACCATTTTACCGGTTGCGCTCGGAAAGAATCGCCGCGCACCGAATACCTCACTTTCGGCGACTGCGCGAAATTCGGTCATTCGAATCGGTGTTCCCAAGTGCAAGTGTCTTCAAAAGAACGTTACCGCGGCGAACGCTAAACGAGATTCGCGCAAACGGTCGAATTATCGGAAATAATTCTTGAAACTCGAGCGAAACGGGATTATTTCGAAATACACGCGAAACGCGCAATAATAATCCCGCCGTCCGGCGAATCGAATATTCGATTGTTTCGATTTCAGTTCGGCCATGACTCTTGTTTACAATACCGAGGCGCATCATATTTTAGTTGTCGCGATGTACCTATCCGCTATCAGTCAATTTGATTTGTCGCGGCGTGCAGCGGGGATAACGAAAATAAACCAAGGTGAAAATCCTTCGATATCCTCTGCTACGAGATCCATTCGATCCGCGGGTATCTGCGTTGTTTCCGTCGATGAACCGCGTCGTGATTCGCCCTCGAGAGCCGAAGACGGATGCGTCTCGAGAAGCGCAGGCGGACGCGCCTGAACTGCGACGGGCCGGTGGACAAGGAAAAAATAGAGGAGGCCGAAACGGAATGGTCTATCGAGGCGAAAGGAGGATACAAAGACGAAGGAAAGCAAGGTTGAATACACGCCGACGGAGGAGCAGGAGCGATGCACCTGAGGAAAGGTGAAGACGGAGAATAAGAGAGGGATGCGAAGGAGAAGGAGCGAAGGGAAGAAGAATGAGAAAGGGGTTGCGGGTGGGCGACGGTAGGTGACCGGGCTGATATACATATAAGCAAGGTATAGACACGCGGGATACAGGTAAGCGCGCACGCGCGCGAACGTACACCCGCGATCGGTGAGAAGGAGAGAGGAGACACGGACGGGGGTTGTATAGCGGTCTCTGGGAGCGGAGTTCGGAGAGGCTGCACGGGGCGGCTGCGTGCTCGAAACCCGAGCGGCGCTCGCGCAATGTAGTCCCTCGGCTATCCTTGACGCGGGAGCATCGTCGTTTCGAAAGAGCCGCGACCTTCCGCCGTCGCGCGCGTTTCGTGGCAACGTCCAAGGACCGACACGCTCCGCGACGTCGGCCAACTCCTCCCGGAGCCGTTGATTTTCGATGGGCAGACCGCGCGATCGCGGACGCACCCTCGATCCTATCGTTTCCCGCGTGTCCCCGCTCGTTTCCCTTGCCCGTCACCCCGATAGAATCCGATGATCGCGGACGGATCGTGAAGTGCGCGCGTGCGACCCTGTTATAGATACCGTCGTGATACGGAGATGCGTTGCAGTGACGTAACCGGTGAATTGTGATCCGTTCGCCACCGATCGATGAGACACGGACGCAGCCCTGCCACTGACACGGCCAACGCGAACCGTCTTCGACGTCGGCCGTATTCTACCGCTGCGATCTGGACCGTCCGTTGACGGATTTCGAGCCTGGACCACGGACAACTCGCGAGACTGGGAATCGACCGTGGAAATCGGGAAGTTGTCCTTAAGAATCCCGATCGATCCTCGGGGAAGACGAAGAGGGACCGAAGGCTGTACCAATTCGCGAAGCCACAACTTACGGCGGTGCTTACCGGTGAACCTTCGAGTTCGCTGTGAGAGGAGTTAGGAATCGAATCTCTGGTCGGAAGATCGAGAGGTCCGCGTAATCTACTGGCAGAAGCGCGCGGATGAAACTGGGTGAGATAGGAGCGATCGAACTTGACGCCGACTTTCCGCCGCGATTTCCTTCGAACGGTTCGCGGAGAGAACTCCGTGCCCCGATACAATCGAGCATATCGTTCCTCTGCTTCGGGAGAAGCGACTGTTCCCCGCGACCGGATGCGACGGCACCGCTACGGAACGGCAAGAGGAAGACAGGCCCTATCGGCCGTGATCGCGATCCCGACGGCGCGCGGACCTTCGCGACTCGCTTCCGCTCGAAGGGAATAATGTTTGAAACGAGCATTCCGTTCGGTGAGCGGAACGTTGAATTTTACGGTGCACTTTCGGCCAGCCGCATCGGGTACAGTGTGGACAGTGTTGCGGAGAGACGTAACATGTAATGGGGACGTGTTAAATGATAGAGAAACGAGTGTCGAAACGTTTCAGTGCAACGGGGAGGAAAGCGGTCGAGTCGCGTGGGATGTTAGAGACGAACGGTGTCGTTGGATCACAGCGATCCTGTCGTACAGTGTCCGTGTGCTTCCGTGGATCAGCGAGACTCCTGCTCGCCGTGAATCACTGCCGTAACGTAAGCAATCGTGGCCGCGTCGCAACGGAACACGACCGACAGGATAATTATACGGTGACCGATGCGGGAAACTATTAAAGCCGATTGAAAGCTTGCCGAGTGGTCTCGATCGAACGGCCGATCGGTTCAGGCGGAGTCGACGTTGCGAAGCATTATGGTTTCCGGCGACGATTAGGCCGTGCACCGGGAACGGAAAAGACGGAGCTCGGAAGAATGCAGGGGGTACTCGGCGGGATGCACGCAGAGAAACTGCGAGAAAGAATGATCGATGAAACGTCTAGAGCGTTGAGGAAATTACTTTAACGAGTCCCGCCTAATGCATCGCGAACGACTTTGCGGTCGTCAGTGCGACCAGAAGCATAATAGCGTCCACGACCACCTTTTCTCTATATCCCGCTATCTCTCTTCCCCCCTTCTCTCTCCCCTTCTTCTATCTGTCCGCCTTCCGTCTCTCTCTCTCCCTCTTTATCTTTCTCTCCCGTTTCTGTCCATCCTCGTGTCCGTTTCTCTCCACCCCGATCTCTTTCTCTAACGCTTCGACCAACACGGGATAACGCCGTGCCAACGCCAACGAAATACTCCTGCCGTTAATTGCTTTCATTAGCGAATATCCCCGACAACGTAGCGCCGAGTAAGGTCGCGCTTTCTTCCGCGACCGCCGGGAAGCCACCTGCCCGCGAGAAACTTCACCTGCGATCCACAGCCACCGGACGACACGGGGGGAACGAGGAAACGAGGAATCGAATGAAGTTGGCGGAGCCGTGCGATCGGAAACGCAGTGCACGCGCCAGCCGGAGGTTCGCTGTTCCCCTCCTTCTCGATGCAAACAGTGAAACAGTGTTGTCGTGACGTTCACGCGAAACAAACCTCCCGACCGTGAACCCCGAGAAGGAACTCGCGGAATTCGGAGATCGACGAGAGTCGCGTGAAATGCCACGTCGTTCGAGCACCAGACGACGCTAGCAAGTTTCTCTCGGGACTCGAGGCGCGATTCGGCAAAACGTCGCGAAATGCGTGTGAGATAGTATATCAGTATGTGAAAGAGCCTCGCCGAGGAAAAGCGATGTCTCCTTCTCTTCCCGTACTCGTCTGTTTTATCGTTTCTTTTGGTAAGTCGAAGGTCACACAGCTTCTAACGATAAACTACCAGCTCTCCGAGCTCCGGAGAATTCGCGAGCGGTTCGAATTAGTTCCTCTCAATTCCTTATCACGGTTTTCTTCGTGTCGTCGTGACTGATCGTCGCACAGCCTCGACGAACGTTCTTCCCGTTCGAATTGCTAATCCGACGTTTACGATACTTTTATTCGCGACATTCCGGTGAATAGCAATGCTTTGCCACAACATTCCGCCCCCGGCGAGCTTAGCGTATAACAGGGTGGAGCCCGCGTATCGTTCGGTTCGATTGAATTCGATGAACTCCACCCTAGCGAAAGAAAGAGGAAAAACTACCCCCGGATTTGCTCGCTAGTCCCCTCGAGGCGACAACCGCGTATACGAGACTCGACTAATCTTGTAAAGATTGTCACCGTTGTCGCTGTGTTTCTAGTAGGTGCGAATGAGAGGAAACAACTTGAAACGTTTGAAGACTTGTCGCTCTATTATCAGCGAAAGCGCAAGATATACTCTCGAAGGAAACGACGCAACTAAGGGGCTCGAGTTGCGATAGCTCTTTGCTATTCGCTGTAAAGAACATCATAGCTCCGCTATTTTCCAATTGGAAGAGGGAGAGAATGCTCGTAGATCTCCGCTCGACACACTTCCCGTAAACGCTAGGAAAAGTGGGTGTATACTGTTTCAATGATGCTTCCGTTTATCCTTCACATTTCTCGCAATATTCTTTTATACGATTGTCCGGGGAATCTTATGAAGGAGGGTCCGGTGTGTTCCGCGCGAAGCAGGAACAGAGGGTCGACGCCGGCACGACGATTTAATGCACAAATAACTTGTCGTCCGTCTTTAGCCGCGTTCCCTTTTCCTCGCCCACCTGCTGTCGCTTCTTCCCTCTGGAGAGCTTGCCCCGTGAAAAGTTAGAATAGTTTTTTCCCGAGGAACTCGCCATGATTGTTACGATTGTGAAAGGAAAGCACGCCCTGGAAACACGATTTTACACAATTCTCTGTCTCGCGCCTTCTTTCCTCTATCGCATTACTCGCCACTTTTCCCCCTCTCCTCGTTTCGCTCCTCTTCCGCTCCCTTTCGCCGTTCGCGATAGTTCTTCCGCGTTGACAACGTGAAACCGCGTGAAATCGATCTTCACCGATGCACCCTTGCGCTCGGGGTTCTCCGAAATTAACCGACGTCGCGTCGTTTCGCCGCGAATTTCGGGAATTACTCGCAGAATGTTCGAAAATGAGCCTCCGCCCAGATTCGACGACTGGCCGACGTGAAAAATTTTAATTGGCGCTCGTGATTCGCATTGAAAGCGGTATCAATTCAAAGTGCACGGCTCGTCTTGTTTAATCCCGCCGGATTACGGGGGACAGTGAATATTGAACTGACGAATTCACTTTGATCGATCATCCATAGACCGGGTCGCGGTCACTGAATTGCCGATACGAGCCAGACTACGAGCCGTTTATACGCCGATCGAGACCGTTGAACGTAGTGTTCGCGTTTATGACGTTGTGCCGTGAAACAGCGCACCTAATTCCAGCACCTCGCCGCCGATGCCGCCATTGCCGCCGCCGCCGGCGTGTCCCGCCGCCGACGCAGCGCTTCGCCACCTGTTTCAACCGCTCCAAGATTCATCCGAATCAAAGCGACGCCTTAACGAAAACAATCTTCTCGCAAGTCGATCGTTGTCTCTAGTGCAAAAAGCCGTCGGACGAAAGTTCGTCGACGAAACGTGTACCTGCGTGGACTCGGAAATAAGTTTAACCATTCTCGAACGATTTTCTCGCGTACGACAAATGCAGCCTGAGAAAGCGAATTCGGTAAAATTTAAAACCGCTGTCGGGTAACCGTACGAGCGACCGAGAGAATTGAACCGTTCATTTGCTTTTCGTTACTCGCCGACAGCGAGGTGCCTGCGCGTTTGATTTAAGCAACGTTTCTTCCAACCAAGATTTCGCAGTCATGTTAGATGAAACATCCAACTCGAATCTTTCGCGACAACGCGTGCAGTTTCTCATATTCGGCGCGAACTCAACGACAATTAATTGACGCCCAACCGTGCGAGGAACGGTTCAAACGGCACCGCGTCGACATTTATGAAATATTTTCCGAGGCACGCCCAGGAAGCGAACAGTTATGTAGAAAATGCGAGCCGTTCGCCGGAAACAAAAATACGTTGTTAGAGAGTTTTATTGCCGCGCGTAACGCAAAAATATCATCCGAGTCGCGACGTAAGAAGATCCGAGTGGCTTTCAGAGAATACGCGGAACGCGTTTCCCTTCGGGGCACAAGAAATTCGATTTATATACGTCCTGACTGTCGGTAAAACGGGCCAGGCAAACTGGATGTAAACTCCACGGGAGGCAAGTGTTTTCAAATACAAGACGAAGCGTGTGTATATTTCCAGGAAGGTTGCGAAACGATAAAACACGATAACGTCGCCCTGCGTTGACCCTAAAATTACGTAGCGAATTTATCTGTATTTACCGAAATAAACTGCGCTGCACGCTATCGTCCGTATGCGCACGCAGTTACTGTCTTCTCTCTTTTTTCATATCCATTCGGGCAACCGAACTTCACGAGTTATTTGCTCGATTCACAGGCTCCGCCGTCGTTCGGACGAAAAAGTTAAACGGTTCCCTTATCCTCTCGATCCTTCCGATCAGTTTCCAATCGCTCTCGTCGCTCTGCGCGAAAGTTTTCAAGAACGTCGACCAGACTCGCACCTCGTTTCGTACTCGGAGTTGAACCGCAGATATGCGTGCACTCGCCGAGTACCGCGAACAGGGGAATTTGTCCGAGTTGAACGGCCGAACCGCATCGTACGGACATAAACGAGAGTCGAATTCTCGCTCATCGACGCGACGTTCGCGAGTGGCAATGGAAGACGTATACTTTCCGAGAGCGCCTTGAACGGTTCTTAATCGAGGGGACGAGGAGTTTTTTAATCCTAATGTCTTCTTTCGTCGTAAGAGAGACAACATTCAGATCTATTTTTCAGTGACGATCTTCTCAATTGTAACGTTTTATTCAATAATAAATCTAAACAAACTATCGGAAAAATGAATCTGGAACGTTTCAATGAATTCCTAAATATAATCACGTTGCTTATAACTTTAAATAATAGTATCGATAGGATTAATTTCATTTTCCTCGTGTGAAATATAGGATTGCGATCGTCACAAATATGCGACGCTAGTAGGGAACGTCTTGAATTTTATTGTACAAACGAAATTCAAGGAAAAGAGCAAATTCAAATTATTCAGAGGCTCGAACGGTTAATAGTAACTCCGACGGATCTCTTGGGCGGGATGAAAGAAACGCTGGAACAAATAACAGAGGCGGACAAAGACGTGGAAAAGTTGAAACGGATGGAAATGACGTTAGCAAAACAACCGATGAAAGTTGCTCCTGGATAGAAGGGATAATGGAAACGAGAAGCGCGGAACGGGATGGAACGAAATAGGATTTTGCGGTGAACAACCAAACCAACCAGCGGGTTTCATTGCCGAGGTGGCCGGCCCTGCGATAGTTAGCAGTGACGGACAAGCGTCAGCCGACGGTCGTTGAAATAATTATAAAGCTGGTAGCGCAGAGTCATCCGGTATGCCGTACCAGGCTCCAAAGGTTCTTCGAAAGTTGGAAGACAAGGGTGACAGGGATGTGACGTGTTATGTGGCGGCGAGGAGAAAATCCGCGTCACCGTTTCCCAAGAAGCTTGTTCCCCGGGGAACTTCTCTGGCTCTCTACCAGTTATTACGTATTCAACGATCTCGTGACGAAAATTTGTTCAGTCCACGTAACTTCCGAGGAAAAGTGCGGCCGCGTCGAAGGCGGCACGAACCGCCGCGCGGCTCGAGGCAGGGAATGTTGTATTTACGACTATCTGGCCGAATGTCGTTTACGTGGAATGCGGAAGGGTTCTCGATCGAAGGACAGACAAGGGTACAAAAGAGAGACAAAAGAGGTGGGTGATGTGGATGATAACGATCGTGTAAAAATCCGCCGAGTGTAAAGGTTTTGTATCATCGCTGCGGCAGATTAATGTCCGTTCGCTATTTTCGGTTCAGCGGAACCCACCGGAAGCGGGAGCCGGCAGGGGAAAGACCGTGCTCGGTAAGTCCAGCGTGAAATTAATTCATGAAAACGCGGGTACTCGGATTATCGCGTCCCTCGGTGTTTCCACTTTTAACTCGTTCGCGATCGAGAGACCGCGGGATAAAGCTCGCCAAGGAACCAGGTGGCCGACGAGAGGAAAGCGAAGGAAAACCAAGGCAAAGCCGAGCGAAAACCCGGCGGCCGGGATGACAACCAGACATATTTCCCAGACAACGCCCGCGCAATTTCGTCGGCAGGGCGAGTCCGGGGGGGTTTTGGGAAAAGTCGAGCAACGTCGCGAGGAAAATTCAACCGCAGTGTCTCGGGGACAGAATTAATTCTCTCGTCGAAGTGGAACCGGCGGCGTAGCAGTTGCGGTTACTCGCGGCGCTCTTAGCCGGCTCGTCTTAACTCTCGTATGCCCGCTCGAAAGTTTAAGAGTCCAACGTCACCGGAGATCCTTAAATGTTCCCACGGGGGACGAGTTCGCTCTGGAAACGGTTCTTCCCTAATGCAACATACGTTCCGAAGCGCAGCCGGGGAATTCCTTTACCGCACGCTGCGCTGCTCACAGGCTGGATTTTAATTACTACGAAAGAACGCGCCGCCATGCGTTGCGTCTCGCGAAAGGAATTCGATCATTTTACCGATTCACGGTCCGCTACGTCCTTTCGAATACCGAGTACCTACTGTTATTAACCCTTTACACTCTAGAGGCGACTCTCACCACATGGTTCGATACGACAAAACTGAAGTTGAATATTTAATATTTGAAATTAAAGTTTGCATTGCTGCGTGAAATATTTGAATAAAACACCTCTGTTGCTTAATTTATCTATGTTATCGTTAAATTAGTTTCAAACAATACGACCTATATCTCGTCAAATGTTGAACATTTTCATTGAAAGACTTTCGAGTGCAAAGGGTTAAAACTGTTCGGGTAAATGGGAACAAATGATCTCGATCTAATCGTACAACTGAGGGAAAGAAGGTATTGTCGCGTGAAACCTATCGTACCGAACCGCTGAAACATTCGGGGATCGTTTCGTTCTATGCTTTCTCCGGAGAAATTGCGACCGACACTTTGTTCGTTATCATTTTGTATAAAAGAAGCAGCGGTTTGAAAGGGGTAAGGTGGGAGGAGTGCATCTTCGACGGAATCAACGTTTGCGGTGCAAAAGTAAACGTGTATCTTGGCCTGGTGCTTACTTAGGGTGAACTCGTCTTAACCACTCTTGGACTGGGAAAGCTCCGAAGTGTAGCGTACGAGTGCATGGTCTGGTAAACTAACGAAAGAGAATATTCCATTGCGATAGTGGTTCTTCCTACACACGGCTGATTCTAGAGAGCAGTCGCAAAGAAAAGCTCGCCGGCATTCTTGTCCGCGTTTCAACTTCGCTCCCGCTGATCCCGGGATTTGGACGCGCCTCTCGATTTCCGCTTCGAACCTTTGATCGGATTCCGCCGATCGAATCCACGATTACACCGCACCGCCAGCGCCTGTTCTTTCTCCGAAAAACAAATGGATCCCCGGTGGATTCGCGCGAGCCCGAGCCCTCGAGATCGAGCGCGATCGGCAATGCGACCCGATCCGATACGATACGGGCGCGCCACCTGGCCGAATCTCACTTGGGTTTATTTAAATTTCAGTTGTCCCGTGTCTATCGATTAAGCTCGCGTTCGGCCAATGATCTCGTTGCCGCGTCGCGCCGCCTCAGGTACCGCTGTCCCGAAAACCTCGCAGAGACCGAGAGTAACGCGATCTGCGGCGGTCCGCCGATCGAACGCATACAATTATCCCGGAAATTCGATTTCCCGCTCTTTTTATGGACCGAAAGAGGGTTTTATTCTTCGTCACCGTTCCATTCTATTTTCGATACGACAATTACGAATGTACAATTGAATCGAGGCGCGCCGCGGCAGCTTTTCCGGCGACAATTGCGCGCGAAATTCTCGCGGATAAAATACGATCGTCGCTCCGAGGCGGAATCGTGAAATGCGTTCAAAACGATTGCTTGCGTTTTTCGTTGTATAATTTAAGGGGATAGCAATTTGGGGCTGGCAAACGGCGCGAGGAGAGGAAGGAGAGTCGATCATTCGTGAACAATGGCACTCTATGGATGTTATTCCGCTAGAATAGGAGGAAAATAGCTCGATAGTCCCCAAACTGTCGGTCCGGTTACACGCTGTTACTCCCGCGGAACTGCCCCCGACTCCTCTTAACTCGCGTTCGACCATCGCTCTGTGTGTTTCGCTGCCAGCAAAATTGACCGGAAATGTTTTTTCATTGACGCCGCGTTTCCGTCGACGATTTCCACCGGCACCACGGATACACCGGTTGTACACCTTTAATTTTTAACTTATATACGCTTCACACTTTCCTCCGTGCCAGCCGTGTTTCAAACGTCAACGTATTGCTAATTGCAAATCCGTTTTCCCTCCTTCCTTCTCTGTTGTTTCTCCCGTTTCTCGCTGTTTTTCCCCCGTCCCTCCCGGCATTTCGTCCGAACGAATCGATCGACCGTTGGAACACTTCCACCGTTACTAAATCACGGAACCGGCGATCCGGTATCTGCGCCCTAACGTACCAGTGACGCACGTTCGAACGCGT